GGGAGGTTTGGTTTGGGGGCCAGGGATGCAGATTCGGAGGTCATGCAAACTGGTACGACTGGCAAAACGAGTGGACCAGCACAACACCCGAGAGATTGGCAAAGCCTTCTCTTCCCTTCCCTTCCTTTAGCACGCAGTGAGTCAATAACAAACAAACAGCAGTGCGAAATGGGTGATTTTGAACGTGATCATCGTGACGTCATCTTCAAATCACGACACCTATTTTTGATCTCAATGCTGCCAGCTGATTACACCAGCCGACGGACAGCCCTTTTTTTGCGATTTGAACAAATTCTTGAAGCAAGAAACGTCAAGTGGACTCCGAATGAGGCGGCGAACCCCAACTGGCCAACTGGCACCTGCCCTCAACTTTTCAACACGTTCAGCTCGAAACTGGTGCCAAAGAACCAGGCGACGTGTCGTACCGATCAAGAAATCGCATTGTCGACACGTCATGTTTCGTTCTTGACGGCGCCTTGTCGTCGCGCAACGGGCGACAAGAACCGCCGCCGATCAGCTGAGGCTCGATTGACTTCTTACCTGACTTCATCATGGCGTCAGTCCGTCGACTTTTGCGCCAAACTTCATGTCCGGGTGCCAACTTGCAAGCGGTCAACGCGAGATGTCCGCCGCGGACATTTCTGCGTCGTCGTGGTCGCGCTCCAGTCGAGAGCGGCGACAAGAACAACAACTCCGAGCCCGCGGAAGGCTTCCAGCGACTCGAGTCCAACGCCGCCTGCGGCTTTCTGCTTCTTGTAGGGACACCCAAAAACTGTAGGGGGCGCCAGAATGCGCCAAAACATCCGTTGGGGAAATATCGGGTGGGCCTTTTTGTTTGTTTGTTTGTTTTGCTGTCAGTGAGGGGGAATTGAGATGATTGACAAGACATCAACTAGACACATTTAATCTTCAGGAACTTGTATTGGTAAGGCTCAAGCACCGTTGAAAAAGGAAGGGAAAAAAAGTTTGTTCGGAATCAATCTAGTTTAAAATTGAGACATAAGGTAAAATGTGACATTTTCTGAAAAGATCAGCATCAAGTTCAAGATCGGAAAAGTGCAAAGCGGGAGTGGGCTATGCATTTCGGACCCGCGGGCCGAACAAAACGATACACAACAACGCATTCTAACTACGCGTGGCATGACAGTTTAAGACAAACATTGCACTTATCTGGGATGGGTGCCATTATTACGAAAGCGAGAGACACCGCTAACATGTCATTTTCCTCGACATTTGCAGCAGTTCTCCATCAACGAACACAAGAAAAACGTCAAAACAAAATAAATCACAGTCACCAGAGATGCTGATTATTTACAGATCCTTTCTTTACTCCTCCTCAGAGCTTTGTTTGGTAAATGTGTCGCCAGAACTGGAAAGAGTGATTTAGCCAGACACTTTGGGTGCATGCTTCAAGTAAGTTAACAGTATTTATACATATTACAACAGTACACATATTATAAAACCTTTGACAATAATTAACATTCATCATCAACATTGCCTTCTGAGAGAGGCGAAGACGGACGGCTCACTTGACTCGTCCAGGCTTTCGGTTCACCCGGAGACTCTTCTGCTGGAGGCGCAGACGGTGGAGCTGAGGTTTTTAAATTGGGAGAAAAACATGGTGATGGGAAATAGGCTGATGGTTCCTTTCTTTATTTTTTTTTCTCGTGAAGTAAATGGCAGACCGTAACAACGAGCGTACGATATAAGCCAAGCCGATGAAAAAGTCCTTTGCCAGGACGTCACCTCTTCCGGTTGACTCACGTCGTTTCGGCGACGTATTCTTTTTCCGGCGAGTGATTCGACGTGAGGTCATTGGTTAGCGTCGGCGCCGATTCTTCCACTTTATTTGCGTTCGAGGCCTCCGAGCAGCCCACGCTGACCTTTGCGCTCTCGCTGCAAGCATCAAGGAAGGACGAGGGTGACGTTGAT